ACAATGCAGTCAGGCAAGTACCGTTCTCCTGACAAATGCCAAACCCAGACACGTCCATCGGATTGCCAGACAGAGAAGCGTGATTGGTCCCTCCAGAGAACACGTCTCCATGCTCTAGAGTCCAGTGGCAGCGTGCTTTACACCACAGCATCCGACGCTTTGCATTGCACTTGGTGATGTAAGGCTTGGATGCAGCTGCTCGGCCATGGAAACCCATTCCATGAAGCTCTCTACGCACTGTTGTTGGGCTCATCTGAAGGCCACACCAAGTTTGGAGGTCTTTAGCTATTGACTCTGCAGACAGTTGGTGACTTCTGCGCACTGTGCGCTTCAGCATGCGCTGACCCCGCTCTGTCATGTGACGTGGCCTACCACTTGGTGGCTGAGTTGCTGTTGTTCCCAGTTGCTTCCACTTTGTTATAATCCCACTAACAGTTGAGCGTGGAATATTTAGTAGCCAGGAAATGTCACGGATGGACTTATTGCACAGGTGGCCACCTATCAGGGGACCACGCTTGGAGTCACTGAGCTCCTGAGAGCGACCCATTCTTTCACCAATGTTTGTAGAAGCAGTCTGCATGCCTAGGGGCTTGATTGTATACACCTGTGTCCATGGAGGGGATTGGAACACCTGAATCATGATTGGGAGGGCGGGCCCAATACTTTTGGCAATATAATGTATATCTCCATATCCTATTATCTATTATATATTTCTTACAACTTAACATAATAATTGAATCTTCTGCCTATCTCTCCTAGCTGAGAATGATGTAGCCCCAGCTGTCCACAGCCTCTTAGGGTACCACGTCAAGTATCCCTAGGAAGCTTCAGGGCCATCTATCACACGGCACATGCACTGGGCAATCTAAACCATGCTGCGCATCTTCACGGGTCTGGCTGCAAGAACCAGGAAGAGACAGCCAAGAGAAGATGGTGACATAAGACCTGGCAGATTATACCAGACAGCGCTGGATTCAATGGGCGTGGGAAGAAGGGAAAGAAAAAAAATTAAATTCCCCTTCACAGGCTCATTTACGCGGTTGAGGCACGTTTTTACTGCTCCACAACTGCTCCCCCTTAAAGTGAAACTAAACCCAGGGAAACATTCACCTTTTCATTCCAGCGATCCGGCCGTTAAATTCTTTACTGGCCGCTGTCATCATCCCTGGGTGGCGCGATTTCATCTTCTTGATTGGCCAATGGCGGAATGACATCATCCCGTGCATGTGCAGAGGAGTCTGGTATTCCGACACAGCCAGAGTGGGCTAAGAATGCACACAGAGTTGTACATGCGCAGCTCAGTGTTCATTCAATGGAAGATTGCAAGCTGGCAGATGATTGTTATTGCAGAAGAGAAATAGCGGATCTCTTCTGCAATAAAGAAACGCATGTTCGCGGTTTCCAAAGACATGTTGGTAGGCCAATTGCTCCTGTCCATGGTCCCCATCCGTGGTCCCTATCCGTGGTCCCCATCTGAGGTCCTCATCCGTGGTCCCCATCCGTGGTCTTTGCAGCTTAAACTAAAGGGAAATAATGAAAAACCGCAAACAGGCGTTTCTTTATTGCAGAAGAGACTTGCTATGTCTTTTCTGCAATAAAGAAACACAATAAAGAAGCTGCAAAGACCACGGATGGGGGTGTACACATGCCACAGCAAGAATTAACACCCCTGTCACATTCAATGGGCAGCAACCACCCTGTGACCATGTGCAATGCAATGTAGTGGCATTTACAGGGTTAAAATAGGTGGGCAGGAGGCAACACATCACCTTTGAAAAGCAATCTGACTGTGAACAGCTTTTCAGAGGTATGACAGCAGCAGCCACACATTTATTTCAGGTACTTATATAGCGCCATCAAATAACGCCGCGCTTTACATATATATTGTACATTCACATCAGTCCCCGCCCCCGAGGAGAATACAATCTAAGGTCCCTAACTCACATTCATGCATACACATACTAGGGACAATTTAGACAGGAGCCAATTCACCTACCAGCATGTCTTTGGAGTGTGGGAGGAAACCGGAGTACCCGGAGGAAACCCATGCAGGCACAGGGAGAACATGCAGACTCCAGGCAGGTGGTGCCATGTTTGGGATTCTAACCCACAACCCCTAGTACTGGCAGGCAGAAGTACTAACCACCTAGCCACTGTGCTAATGTAACCTAAATCTCTGTGAACAACAAAACAACGTCCCTCTATGTTATGGAAATGAGAGGAGAAGGTGTTCTGTAGTCCTAACACACTTAGGCTGGCCATACACTATACAATTTTCTATCCAATTTCCTTTAGATTTACCTTCAACTATGTAGTGCAAGGGCCTGCCTAATGGGATACAATTAAAAGTGTTTTAGGTTTGACCTCATATTATATGGTTTTTAGTAAATCTAAAGCAATTCTCAAGAAAATTGTATAATGTATGGCCAGCCTTAGGCCCCATGTACTCGGGACACTTCTGAACGATGGAAACTGCTAGAAAACGTAGGTTAAAAAAACGTCTGTTTAGCCACGTTTGCTTTTAGAAGCGTTTTTTAAAGATATGCACAGGAGAACCTCCCAAATGCCCAGAATGCAAAGTGGTAAATTATTACCTATTTCAGACTGTTTCAGAGAAACACAGAGAGTAGAAGCAGAGACAGCAGTATGTGTTGAGATTAGCTTAGGTGTGAGTTGCTCATTAACATATCTTTTGTTTCCAAGGGTGGGAAAGGTGTCTGGTGGGGGGAGTCATTAAGGTCACCTGGCAGGGGGTCTTCATGAGGAATTTAAGGAGTGAATGGTCATTAACATATCTTTTGTTTCCAAGGGAGGGAGAGGTCTGAGGTGTGAGTTGATCATTAACATATCTTTTGTTTCCAAGGGTGGGAGAGGTCTGAGGTGTGAATGGTCATTAACATATCTTTTGTTTCCAAGGGAGGGAGAGGTCTGAGGTGTGAGTTGATCATTAACATATCTTTTGTTTCCAAGGGTGGGAGAGGTCTGAGTTGTGAATTGGTCATTACAATGTGTGACAAGCTTGGTAGGAACATCCTGTGTTCCGTGTTTTGTCCATCTGAGTACCCTGAAAAGTCTTTGCATGCATTTTTCATGATGAAAAAAAGGCTCTGGACAGCATCAGGAACTGGAAGAGTTAAAAAATTTTAAACGCTAACGCTTCTAAATGTGATTTTCTGCGTTTACAAGCGTTTTGCGTTTGAAACGCTGATAAAATCGACTGCTGAACGCAAGTTTTCTGCGTTCAAAATATGACTGTAAATTCAAATGCCTGTAAATGAAGATGTGTACATGGACACATAGGAAAACATTAGGGAGAGTTCAGGGGCTGCTGAAAAAAACACTGAACAGCTCCTAAACGGGAGTTTATCAGCTGCAGTGTACCTGAGTCCTTATTCTCCCAGGAGGACAATGTTGATCCATAGATGCAGTGCAGCGAGTGAGCATTGTCACCCTGGACAGGAAGCAGTATTGACAGGATCACCAGGTGAAAATGAAGGCTGGCAAATAGAAAATGAATGCAGCCACATCGAAGGATCGGTAAACTGCAATATATACTTTTTTGTGGGCTGTGAAGAAAAGCTCAGACCTGAACCGCAGGCACCATCTCTGTGCAGTACTACCAAGGAGGAAGAAGCCAGTTCTGTTCATGTAATATGTCTGTCCTAAATAATTCATCTCATTTTATACAACCTTAATAGAGCCATGATGCAGGGATTTTATGTCATTTATTTATGTAATATGGCTGCCCTAGATAGTTCAAATCCCTCATTATATAAATTACATAAATTCTTAAAGTGACACTAAAACAATATCCTTATTCTCCAAAATAATCCACACACATCAACTAACTAACCCCTTCAATACCGGGCACTTATACCCCCTTCCTGCCTACAGGGCACTTCTACCCCCTTCCTGCCTACAGGGCACTTCTACCCCCTTCCTGCCTACAGGGCACTTCTATCCCCTTCCTGCCTACAGGGCACTTCTATCCCCCTTCCTGCCTACAGGGCACCTATACCCCCTTCCTGTCCAGGCCAATTTTCAGCTTTCAGCGCTGTCACACTTTGAATGACAATTGCGCGGTCATGCAACACTGTACCCATATGAACTTTTTATCAATTTATTCACACAAATAGAGCTTTCTTTTGGTGGTATTTAATCGCCACTGATTTTTTTTATTTTTTGCTAAATAATACAAAAAACACCAGAAACTTTTGAAAAAAAAAAAAAACCTCACTTTTCTTCATTTCTGTTCAAAACTCTTTATAAAGTGCACTTTAAAGGCCTAAATACTGAACAGGGACATGATAAAAAAAAAAAAATTGTAAATGCACTGAAAACCAATTAATCTGTTCCAGAGGTCAGAAAAAAAGTTAAAAAAAAGTCTTTTAATCTGTTCAAAACTCTTTATAAAGTGCACTTTAAAGGTATAAATACTGTACAGGGACATGATTAAAAAAAATTTGTAAATGCACTGAAAACCAATTAATCTGTTCATATTGTGAAAAAAATTTGTAAACGGAGTAATTATTTTCATTCGTAAACCAAAAATGACATTAACCAAGGCGTTCGTAAATGGAGGTATGCCTGTACATGTGACAACAATTTCCCATATTCTTTATATGTCTGGGCTATGGGGGAGAGTGGCAAGACGGAAGCCTTTTCCAAGCCTGGCTTTTTTCCAGCCAAAAAACGTCTCAGCCAAAAAAACTTTGAATCCAGACTATGTATGTATGTATGGACACATAGGATAACACGCCGGGGATGGACACGTAGGATAACACGCCGGGGATGGACACGTAGGATAACACGCCGGGGATGGACACATAGGATAACACGCCGGGGATGGACACATAGGATAACACGCCGGGGATGGACACATAGGATAACACGCCGGGGATGGACACATAGGATAACACGCCGGGGATGGACACATAGGATAACACGCCGGGGATGGACACATAGGATAACACGCCGGGGATGGACACATAGGATAACACGCCGGGGATGGACACATAGGATAACACGCCGGGGATGGACACATAGGATAACACGCCGGGGACACATGGACACATAGGATAACACGCCGGGGATGGACACATAGGATAACACGCCGGGGATGGACACATAGGATAACACGCCGGGGATGGACACATAGGATAACACGCCGGGGATGGACACATAGGATAACACGCCGGGGATGGACACATAGGATAACACGCCGGGGATGGACACATAGGATAACACGCCGGGGATGGACACATAGGATAACACGCCGGGGATGGACACATAGGATAACACGCCGGGGATGGACACATAGGATAACACGCCGGGGATGGACACATAGGATAACACGCCGGGGATGGACACATAGGATAACGTGCCGGGGATGGACACATAGGATAACGTGCCGGGGATGGAACATAGGATAACGTGCCGGGGATGGACACATAGGATAACGTGCCGGGGATGGACACATAGGATAACGTGCCGGGGATGGACACATAGGATAACGTGCCGGGGGATGGACACATAGGATAACACGTGCCGGGGATGGACACATAGGATAACATGCCGGGGATGGACACATAGGATAACATGCCGGGGATGGACACATAGGAGAACATGCTGGGGGGTTTACTGGCTGTAGAAAAAAATGCCAAAAGCCAAAAACAGCCGTAAAAACGTCCCGTGTGCGTGAGGACTAAGGGAGGGGTATAACCCGGCAGTTTCGTTTGTTGCCATCTGTGTCCCATTGCGGAGATTTCCCTTCAATTCCTATCCCATATTGAAAACAGGCAGTGAGAAGAAATTCCTGCAAATGAAGGGAATTCTTTGGGGACCCCCATTGGAAAGTTTCCCCTCTATTACTTTTCGGAGGACAACCCAAACGTGGCATTTTATTTTACTTTCAATGATAATGGCAAACAGGACAAATAGAGAGGGGGAATCTCCCTAATGGGGGCACAGACAGCAAAAAAAAAAAAAAATTGACAGGGATTCTAATCCATCTCCACTCTGTCCTAATCTACATAGAAAAACTTTTTCCTTTAGATACACTTCAACCACTTCCTGTCTGCGGGTGGACATTTCTAAACGTCCCCCCACATCTATTGCCTGGGAGCGCGCGACCCGTTGACTCCTCCAGACACAGAGGAACACCGATTGCTGTACGGGACCTCTGTGTGAGGTCCTGATCATGTGATCACTGATTAGCCAATCAGTGATCACATGAATAGTAGTAAGCAAGGTGTCACTTCTGACCTCATTGCTTACTACGTGTGACATCTGTGAATGATCACAGAGATCACATGGTACAAGGCTATTCACAACAACCTTGTATCATGTGACAAGCTGTGACTAATCACAGCTCTCACAGTATTTCTCAATGGCTGCAGGAATGCAGCCAGAGAGAATGAGAAATGATTGCTTTTACAGTCTTTATGGGTAAAAAAGGAATCAGTGTAAAAAAAGAAAAAAAAAACACAAACTTCATCACCCCCCCAAGCAGTAGTGTCACTATGGTGACACTGTACTGCTAGGGTGACGATATGTTTAAAAAAAAAAAAAAAAACCAAAACAACATAATAATATAAAAAAAAAAAAAACAATTTAAAATTTATAATTTTTGGTTATAAACTAATTTGGGTTATTTTTTTTTTTTAACTAAAAAGATAGTTGAATACATTTTGGTCAAGATTTACGAAGAAAGATTATTTATTTGCAAAATGTTATAAGAAAAACACTTTTTTTTTTCAAAATTTTTGGACTTTTTAATTTATATAGCAAAAAAAATAAATAAATCCCAGTGTTGAATAAATACCACCAAAATGAAAAAATTTTTTCAATGACCGCGCAATTGTCAAAGTGTGATAGCACTGAAAGCTGAAAATTGGCCTGGACTGGAAGGGGGTGAAAGTGTCCGGGCTTGAAGTGGTTAAAGCGGAGTTCCACTTGACCTATCAAAAAAATAAAAGTCAGCAGCTACAAAAACTGTAGCTGCTGACTTTTAAATAAACAGCCACTTACCTGTCCCACGATCCCGCGTTGCCCCCGCCGCAGCTCGTTTCACCAGCCATCCTGTATTCCAGGAGGCCGGCATCTTCAGTGTGGGCACCCGGCTGTGACAGCTTGCAGCTTCACAGCCAGGTACCCACTGTGCATGCGCGAGTAGTGCTGCGCTTCATGAATGGTCCTGTAGTCTTCTGGGACCTGTCACGTGTCCCAAAAGACTACAGGGAAGGAGGGAGGGAGGACACCTTCCGTTTCCGATTGCCTAGGCCAGGGGTAGGCAACCTGCGGCTCTCTAGCTGTTGTGGAACTACATTTCCCATGAGGCATTGCAACATTACAACTGACAGTTACAGCTATGACTTGCTGAGGCATGATGGAACTTGTAGTCCTGCAACAACTGGAGAGCCGCAGGCTCGGACCGGAAGTGGGAGCAGGCCCCTGTCAAATTCGAGTACCCACTCCCTAAAGGTGACAATCCTTCCCCTTTTGGGTAAAGCTCTGCTTTAAGGTTTTGGGGCCCCAGAAATCCAGGCCCCCAGTGACTTGCTAGCAGCGTTGACCCCTTACCCCTATTGCAACGATGAAGGCCTAAAGCTTGATCCCCAAAAACAAGGCACACATTCACAAATCTGCTGCTCAATCCCACCACACAGACCTGAATTATACAGAATACATACCATGAAATGACAGCGACCGCCTTCAACATCTGCCACCCAGCTGTCACAGTCACATGATCAGTAATCATGATGGAGCAGCAGGAAGACAGCTGCCATGCCTGTGCAGGCACTTCTTACATAACCGTCCCATTATTAATCTGCATACACCAGGAAGGCAGCAATAATCTGTTCTTATGGAAGTGCGCTTCAAGAGATCATTGTCAGTGTAAAGCACGAAGAGGCAAGCTGGTATATGTCAGAGATACACCAGAAGTCATTGAAACCACATGCAATGTCAGAGATCCTTTAGGTGCTGGAGAACTACAAGTTCCAGCATGCCCTACAGGTCTCAGCGCTGGATTTCAATCCTGTAGACCCCGAGGCTGAAGAGCATCATTTGCTAAAATGCAATATTTGCCCCAAATACATAAGAAAGACATTCGAGTGTCACTCCCTAAACTTTCATAATTAGGTCTCGTCTACATTGGCCCACAAGACCTGGGTCTGCTTGTGCTTTACCAGAAGATCCGGGGCGGACAGTCTGATGCTACATGACCCGGAGCATCCAGCAATACAAAACCTGGAGCCTGACAGTCAGGTGCCTAAAGGCGTCAGATATCCAGCCACACAAGACACAAAGCCTGATAGATTGCCAGCACAAAACCAAAAGTCTGGCGCTACAAGACCCAAAGCGCCATCATCTGGAGCCACAAGAACCAAGGCCGGGTAGCCCGGAGCCACAAGAACCAAGGCCGGGTAGCCCGGAGCCACAAGAACCAAGGCCGGGTAGCCCGAGCCACAAGAACCAAGGCCGGGTAGCCCGGAGCCACAAGAACCAAGGCCGGGTAGCCCGGAGCCACAAGAACCAAGGCCGGGTAGCCCGCCACCACAAGAACCAAGGCCGGGTAGCCCGGAGCCACAAGAACCAAGGCCGGGTAGCCCGGAGCCGCAAGAACCAAGGCCGGGTAGCCCGGAGCCACAAGAACCAAGGGCCGGGTAGCCCGGAGCCACAAGAACCAAGGCCAGGTAGCCCGGAGCCACAAGAACCAAGGCCAGGTAGCCCGGAGCCAAAGAACCAAGGCCAGGTAGCCCCGGAGCCACAAGAACCAAGGCCAGGTAGCCCGGAGCCACAAGAACCAAGGCCAGGTAGCCCGGAGCCACAAGAACCAAGGCCAGGTAGCCCGGAGCCACAAGAACCAAGGCCAGGTAGCCCGGAGCCACAAGAACCAAGGCCAGGTAGCCCGGAGCCACAAGAACCAAGGCCAGGTAGCCCGGAGCCACAAGAACCAAGGCCAGGTAGCCCGGAGCCACAAGAACCAAGGCCAGGTAGCTTGGAGCCACAAGAACCAAGGCCAGGTAGTTTGGAGCCACAAGAACCAAGGCCAGGTAGTCCGGAGCCACAAGAACCAAGGCCAGGTAGTCCGGAGCCACAAGAACCAAGGCCAGGTAGTCCGGAGCCACAAGAACCAAGGCCAGGTAGCCGGAGCCACTGGAGCCACAAGAACCAAGGCCAGGTAGTTTGGAGCCACTGGAGCCACAAGAACCAAGGCCAGGTAGTTTGGAGCCACAAGAACCAAGGCCAGGTAGTTTGGAGCCACAAGAACCAAGGCCAGGTAGTTTGGAGCCACAAGAACCAAGGCCAGGTAGTTTGGAGCCACAAGAACCAAGGCCAGGTAGTTTGGAGCCACAAGAACCAAGGCCAGGTAGTTTGGAGCCACAAGAACCAAGGCCAGGTAGTTTGGAGCCACAAGAACCAAGGCCAGGTAGTTTGGAGCCACAAGAACCAAGGCCAGAGAGTGCGGAACCACAAGACGTGTTTCCTGATAGTCTGCCATCACATCACAGACCCCAACAGTCTGGCACCACAAGGCCCCGGATTCCTAGTCTGGTGACAGCCATCATGTTCTTTGCCACAAGACATGGGTCCTGGCAGTTCTTTTGCAGGAGTCTCAGCAGTACTTTGACACTAGTCCCGGGGCCCGACAGTTCTTCTGCACGAGTTCCGGGGTCCAGCAGTTCTTTAACATTAGTCCCAGGGCCCAACAATTCTTTAACAGTAATCCCGGGGTCCGACAATTTTTTTAACACCTGTTCCAGGGCCCGACAGTTCTTTAACACTAGTCCTGGGGCCCAGCAGTTCTTTGCACAAGCCCTGGTCCTGGGGCCCGAGACTCAGGGCTTGGCAGTTTTTGCCAATGTCTGATTTTACCTCATATATTGGTTTCATTTTTCCAAGGAGGCCGAAAATGGTCCCCTCAGGACAGAATCACTACAGCGGTCATTTCTGCCTTGGATTCAAAGGTGGAAGATCCTTTTCTGTCATGGTCAGGTTTGCCGCACTAGGTAAAGTGGCCCTGTCACGAGAGACGAACGGGGAGCGGCCATTGCTACCCTCAACCCTAAAAAGCCTGGCTGTATCTGGCATGAATCTTTTACCTGGAACAAGCATGCTGCCAATTGTGGCAGAACTCCTTATGTCTATACTTGTTCCAGGTCAGGGATTCCGGAAGCCCTGAAGCCAAAACATCAGCATATTACAGCCAGGCAGCTAGCATTTTCAGGAGGAACTTCAAAAATGGCAGTTTTCCTTGAAGGAAAAGCATTTTTCCTATGTTTTAAAAGCACAACAAAAAGGAATACCTGGTTGCCCTTAGCAA